CTTACTATCAATGTGAAGAAGTTACAGCTGAATGAAAGCACAGTTCTCAAGACATCCCTGGAGAATTTCATAAAAGTTGGCAGAATTGATTGTGTGCTCAAGGGCAATAAAAAAAGCATCATTTCTTGGGATAGTTGGCTATCTGAACTTTAAGTCCTCAAAATAAGCATGGGCAAATGGGCTACAGGGAAGATAACTATAGCTTATACATCAATGACTATTTCACAAAATTAAAAAGTGAAAAAAAAATCTATGAGGAACTTGACAAGATCCTCCAAACTAAGTTAAGAAGACTTGACACTTGAGGACTTCAATATAAAGGTGAGGCTACGGGAGGGTGCGTGTGAAAATTGTAGGCAAATATTAGCATCAAGGTAAGAAAGAAGTTTCTAGACAATTCAGAAGCTTCAGGTTGTACTCAAACTTCGTGAATGTTTTCTTCCAGAAGTGATGCTGAGACACTGAACAAAATCACCTGTAACCAACATATGGTCTAGGTCCTCCAACATACTCTCTAGCCTCATGTTATTACTATGATCTGGGGAAGTAAGGTGGAGGTGGACTCCAATAGGGTGAGTTTTTCTCTTTGGCTCATTGCCACCACCTGGAGATGCAGTTAGCAAATTTCCTAGTATACTCATTGTATAACTCACATCTAGATATCCTGAAATGTGGGTAATTAGACCTTACCTCTTTAAAAAAGAATTTGGGGTGGCATAACGAATGCATACATGTGTACCTACGTATATAATGTATATGTGTAGGTGTGTACATACATATATACATGTGTATGAATTTTTACTTCTCTCCACAGAAAACATAAAGCAAAAAAACCACAAGGGAACCCATGAACAGATATAGAAACACACTGAGCGCCCAAAATAGCCCATTTCTCCAAGAAGACCGGAATCTGGGGGTTGCTTCTGAGCCCATTTCCGTAACATTTTGGTGAAATCCCTCTCTTTCATTAGATAATATATAATCTTTTACATATTAATGCTATCCTGTGCTTTAGACTTCCCCCAGGAAGGTAAACATATGCTCCTGACTACTGAACAAGCTATCCCCTTCCCACTGGACAGACTTTACCTGAGTAATTCACTGGCTTTGGGCTCCAAGTAGGATGCTGCACAGTAACTATGAGTAGTGTCTTCTTTTTTCTTCAAGGAGCTCATTGCATCAGGAAATCTCTATAACTTGCAATCTCTAGATTTTGAGACTGGAGATGTCTTAAATTTGAAGTCAGTCTCTTGTATTGAATTTAGTCTGAATGAGCACAGAGCTGTTATGTGGCCCTGAGCCACATGCAGAATCTTGGGAGCTTGTCTTGGAACTGTTGGGTTGATTTCCAATCAACCTCAAGTGTGTGATCCCTTCTTGGAAGCCCTACACATATTTAGGGTTTGTCCATGTTTGTTTAACATTTTTGAGCATATCTAGACTTCTTGTTCTTGCACGAGTCCAGATGATTTGTCCGAGGCATTTATGGACTCCAGGTCTATAGAGAGTTGCCTGATGAACCTAGAAACCCTGAGTTCTTTCTCTTTTTTGGAGCCTTTCCTTACTCTAGAAGAAAGTAACAGGCAAAAGCAAAGGGGAATCCCAGCCACTATATCACATATTAGGGAGAAAGATGGAATCTGTGATTTCATTGGTATAGGGAAATCTCAAGTGACAAAACTTCCTCTGCCAATGTAGGTTAAGTACCTTCTCTGCAACTTACTTGTCGGAGTGTTCTGGAGCAGAGATGGCCCTCAACATTCTCAAGTGCAGCTGGTACCAGATGAAAATGTAATTGGGAAATATTTAACAAAATAAATAAACTATAGAATATTTTATAACTATAGATTATATTAATTAACTATAGATGACATTACAGTTAAAAATTAAGTCAATATGAGGTCCATAGATATCCTTATGAATTGATCAATGGCTTCCATTTCTATTTGACTTTAGCACCATGCTACCAAAGCACTGAAGAGTTGAGTGATTTTTGCCAGGGTCACATAGTAGTAGGTATCAAAGGTGGGACTTGACTCATCTTCCTATATTTGAAGACAGTCTCACTATCCACTGAATTATGCTGCTTCTGTTACCACAAGTAAGAGCAGAGAAGACATAATCAACTTTTAACCCCAAAACTTACTTTTATTCTATGTACGTATTGAATGCATTCTTAATGAAAACAGGAAGCCTTTTGCAGACGGTTTTCTATCAGGTTATCTAGCATATGCTATTCACTGGCATAGGACTTAACTGAAAAGTGTAGAGAATTTAAGTTAACCTATTTCTACTGTTTGGTGATTTTATGTGAGTATTTGATTTTGTAGAAGAATATGAAGTTTCAAAAATTTTCTTCAGCAAGATGTCTTTTTTGTACATGGTATAATTATATAAGATTGTATGACAGGTGCTGCTCAGGAGAGAACTGAAGCCATCAAGTGAGTGAGTCATAAAAACTTAGAGATGTATACTTACCTAGGGTATTTGTGAGCACTACGTATCCTATGCAGAGTTCAAATATAATAATTTTCTATGGTTAGGGCAGCGCTTTCAGTGAGCCCAGGCAGCCGATACCTGCAGAAGCCAATGTTCTTAATATCAATATTCTCCCTGGTGAGGCTACATGGTTGCAAAACATGGAACACCACAATCTTGCCAAAATTGAAATTTGGTATGAGAAAAGGGCAATGGAAACACATATATAACAGGGTAGGGATGATTCAGCTATAGCATATTCCAATAATGACTTGACCTGAAAAAATGAGAAATATTAAATGCTCTCTTTGTTCCTCCCAGTTACTAAAAATGAATGAATGAATAAATGAATAAGTAAAGAAACAAACTAGGGAAAGACTACAGGGTAACCCTGGGCATTTGGTAGAGCCTCTATGGAAATGTACAGGATGAGATATTGTGGAGGTGTTTCTATTTTTCTGGGTTGAGTAGTTAACCCAATGGCCTCACAGATATATCTTATTCCTCCTACTAGAGTATAAACTTTTAAAGATAGGGTGATGTGTCTTATTTATCTTTGCCTCTCCCCTTAGCATTTAGCACAATGCTTTGAAGTTAATAGAAGACTGACTAATATTTCTTGAATTGGTTTGAATTCTTTTGAGTAGTTGGAAGGGACCTCAGCTTTACTTTGCTTTCATATTATAAAGTCACATTTCTAAGCGGCCTTAATATGAGTATCTGATCTTCTTCATTTCTTGATGCTCACTCTCCCTTCATATCTAAAAACATTTTTGAAGCCAATGTCTTCTATTTTCCTGAACCCTTCCCTGCACTACACACTTTTGTGGCTTAGAAAGACAGAATTTAACATGATAATTTATTCCCCAGAATTTCAGACTTGAAGCAGATGATATAGCAGCACTATAATAACTCCAATAGCTTATAAGCTTTCTTAGTCCTAGAAGGGTAGGTTTAATGATAATTATCCATCTTGAGAAAGAGATCACTCTTTTCTCTGCAGGATCCTATCGCATCTATAAGAAAATGATTACCATACTACACTTAAAATTTAAATATGTTCATTTATTTTTTTTGCTTACTAAATGTTAGTCGGGAAAAATATTAATAAAAACATTCTTGTAATTTATAATTTAGTCACTGACCTCAAGTATCAGCAGTGGAACAGAAAATATTCTCTTCTGATGTTTTCTCACTTTTGAAACTTCAACTTGTGGGATGATCAACTCCGTTCAGATTTCTCCTCATAGTCCTCTATGCTAAATGTACTATCAGTCAAAAAGTGTTTATTAAGCACTTACAGTCCTTACTCTGTTAGAGATAAGATTCCACTTCTAACCAAGGGAAACAAAAAAAGTCTGCCTAAACAAGTTCTGGGCTCTTATTTATCAAGTCAAAGAATATTAATTTATTATTGGTTTTTTTTTTTTGTTTTTTTTTTTTTAGTGAAGCAATTCAGGTTAAGTGACTTGCCCATAATCACACAGCTAGGAAGTATTATATGTCTGAGGCCAGATTTGAACTCAGGTCCTCCTGACTCCAGGGCCGGTGCTGTATCCACTGTGCCAACCCAGCTGCCCCATTTAATTTATTATTATTGTGGGATAAGGCATTGGACAAATCTACCAACAGACACCAAGCATATATATCACCATAGATTAAGAAACTCTGGTGAAAAATAATGGGCCTGAAAAGAAGTGAATTGTTGGTGGTTGAATTTCTTCTTTTCCTTCAAGGCCCAGTTCAGATTCAGTCCTTTGTTGGGAGCCTGATTTCTCTCTCTTCTCAATTTCTCATTTCTTTCTTTTCTACACACTTTCATTCTAATTTATGTTGCGATTATTTGTTTTCTAAATATGTCTTCATTTTATTAAATATTTCCCAATTACATGTAAATTTTTTACACATTCATTTAAAAAAAAATTGAGTTGCAAATTATCTCCTTCCTCCCGCCCCTCATCCAACTCTAGTGAAGGCAAGCAATATGATATCAATTATACATGTCACTATTGCAATTATTTGTGATCATGTCTGATATCTCTACTATACTATAAGCTTCTTGAATGCACAGACTATATCATTTTTTCATCTTTAAGAAAGTCTAATAGAGTCTAATATGTTGGGGCTACGTATGGTGGGGCTGGGGAACCCAACTTTGGTTTTTCCTGAACCCTGTGTGTATTCCTTTTACTGTAAGTTACGGCCTTAGAGAGTTGCCTGAGAGGTTAAGTGATTTATTAAAGGTTAGATAGCTAGTATGAGTCAGAAGCAGGACATGAATTCAGATTTTCCTTGCTCTAAGACTCACTCTTTATTCTCTACACCAACTGGCCTCACTGCCCGCCATATGGCAGGCACTTAATAAACACACTTTTTTTTTATTTTGCTAAGTGTCTCATTTCAAGGAGACATTTTGATTATTTCAGAGGACAGAGGTAGCCACAGAAAGGAGATGTTTACTAAATAGACCCTGATGAAGGGCTAAGACATCTCTGAAAATGGATCATTTTTCCACCTTGCAATCCCTTGATCATAGCCATTCAACAGAACAAAAAGCAGCACCCCTCCCCCTTATTATCCTTAGTGTTTTTACATGGAAAGATTAGATAGCTGATGGCTGAGCATGGAAGGATGATAAACTAGAATTGCTATGGACTATTTCCTTTCTCATTTGGAAGGAATTATTAGTGCATGTGTAGGGACCTTGGTAGTTTTTCCAGATCAAAAAGATCACTCATTCATTAACAATCAACACATTGTTAAAAACAAACATTTTTATAGAGATAAGAGTAATGTTACAAAGACAGTTTCTTGGGCTAATTTACAAAACAGTAGGACTATAATCCATGGGTCCATCAGCAATGACCTTATTCTTTTCAGTCACTTATGTTATAACATGGTAATTGACATCTAACTTGGTTTCTGAGACCAAGATGTGATGAAAAAGAAGACATGCCTCATGTCACAGTATGAACAGGTCTTCATTACTATACTTTAGTTTAGTGATCAGTTGTACAAAAGAATTGAGATTTATAAATATCTCCTAAACCCAGCCTTTATTGTGCCAACTTGTATATGAATTTAAAGATTAGTTTCATGTCCCTACATAGGCTGAGATATAACTGTATTCTATCAGTATAATGATGATGCAGTTACAAATTCAAGATATTTATAACAGAATAGAAAGTTGTTAGCATAGCAAAAGCAAACACCTATCCAGCTTATCAAAACTCATACTTCTTTTTCACATAGGTACCTAAAATTACTTACGTAACAGGAGTCATCTTGAAAAATTCTGGACCTGCAGTACTGCTCATGATCCACATAAAATGAAGAAAACACAGTTTTTAAGGGTCCAGGAAACGATCTGGCTGGCTATTACATAAAGCCATGATTGCAATTCAGCTAAAGATATGAATTCTCCCAAATGGGAATGCCAGGCTGCAAGCTGCATCTGAGTCCAACGTTTATTTAAGCCTTTCAGCAATTTTAAATGAATAAAGCAGAAGTAGCAAACAGCAATTTGGTTATCAAAATAGAGCAGGAAAAGGAGTAATAGTTCCTATTTAGGAAAAGAAGCAAAATTATATTACATGGGGGAAAAAGAACAGAAAAAAATGTATTCAGTCTGACTTTAGTTAAAGGGAAGTCAGATTAATTTTGCTTCCCAGAAGGCTGAAGATAAAGTATATACTTTCCAAAAGGCTGGCATTAAGAATAAAGCATATGAAGTGAATGAAATATTTATTAGGAATACGTGGGACTCTTTTTAGGGGACTCATGTTTGATAAACAACAAGCATCTCACTTGACAGAGGAGATCATTCCAATTAAGAGTTCAAGAGGCCTTTCAAGAGCATCAAAAATAGTGGAATGAATTTTGGACCAGCAAACTTAGGAGGAGAGGCAGCATGGTATAGTAGACAGAGGGTTGGCCTTGGAGTCAAGGTAGATCTGGATTCAAATCCTGCCTCTGATATATACTAACCATGTGACTGTGGGTAAGTCACTTAACCTCTTATTCACACCATTCTAACCTCTAATATTCAACTAAGTTATAGATGATCTACTGATCTGCATTAATGGAAAGAGTTTCCCACACTGGGGGTCACCCACTGTGATTAAATCACATGTCCAGATAAAAAAAAAACCCAAAAGCAACCTGCTCCCACCCCATGTAATAGAGTATGAATGGCACATGAAGAAAAGGTAAATTCTAACACATAGTTATTGGGCTGGGTGGACCATCGGTTTGACCCTGCTTAGCAATTCTTATGTTGTGATGTTTTCTAGACCTTGTATTCCATCAAGTGTTCTTAGAGCAAAACAATGTCTTGTACAGCCTGATGTCCCAATTGATTTATCTGACTACAGCTACAAGCTGGTGAGAAATAAGTATCATTCAGTTTCTAGGGCTCAGTGAGGCACTTTAAAAAATAACTCAGTAATTGCATTTAACAAAAAGTTAAAAGGGCAAGATCAAACAAAAGGTTTGAACCCATCTCATTTCAGCCCAAGACAAAAATGAGATATATATCACAGATACAGCCTTCTTGGAAAATGCTCCACGAGCATTAAGATGGGGGTAATGCTACACAGATTAGGAATATTTAGCTCTCAAAGTTGCATATTTGGGGACTCTTAGTTACTTCTGATGTCAATTAACATATATTTTTGCACTGTGACCCATTGAACCCCAGAGTGCCATGAAACATCCTTCTATGTGTTCCTTGAAAGACAGTGGTGTCTTGGCAGAAATTTTTAATGTGTGTTTATTCTGTCACATTCATGGATGAGCACCACACCAAGGCATGGAGTCTTAAGGTCCACTTCACTGGAGGTGGTCAGGCTGAGGCTGAGTGACCACTTGTCAGGGATGTCATAAGAGGGGATTCATGCTTCAAATAGAGGTTAGACTTCTTGATGTCCCTTTTAACCCTTAAGTTTCTATGATTCATGAACAACAGCAGAGAATGACTATATAGTCTACAGGAGTCTCTAAACCATTGATTTACAGCTAAGTTAATCTTTCAAAGATTTCAAGGCCCAATTGCAGTGCATGGCATGACAATGGTAACAACAACAACAAACAACAAAATAGGTGCTTGAATTTGATTGTGTATACAGGGGGTGTGACTTGGGAGAAGGGTAGGCTGGTTGAAAGAGTTAGAGGGCTTGTAAACTTTGGGGTATTTATCTGCAAGGCTACAGTAGAAAGGCTCTCAATCTTTTTTTTTTTGTCAGCAAGTGATATCAAATTGAACTGAATAATTATCTATGTATAATTAACCACTATTTGAACTCAATGCTTGAGAATGAATAAGGCACTAGTCAATGTTTGCAGCACACAGGTCTATCATATATTCTCAAATAACCATGTTTCATTTGCTTTCCTTGGGAGAATTATCTCTGGGGTCAACCAAACTACTCTTATTGTAAGAAAGGTGCCTTCTTGATAATTCTTGTAGAGTTTGGGGTGAGCTTGGGGAATAAAACATTTTCCTCCAGCGTTCTTCTGAGGGAAGTAGGATCTCTTGTATTTATAAGCATAGATAGCTTCAAGGCCAAAAAGGAAATGTGCCATTTCACAGGGAAGCAGTGGGACCCCTTCCCACCTCTACCCCAAATAGAAAAGCAAATCAAAATGCTACAAAAAACAATGCCTTCTGCATGGTAATGTTTCTGCCTAATATTGCCCAGGTGCAATCTTCCACGAAGCTGAACAACGTCAATGTCTTGAAGCACTTCTTGACCAACTTGTATTTGCCAAGTATGTTCAGGTTAGAAAGTCCCTGCACTATATTTCTGGGACTATTGGGGTAGAGATATTGCTGTTGGTACATGGGCAGAAGCAGATTCTGGGCACAGTCTAGGGTGTGATGGTTCCACTTGGCAGGGTAGGGAGGTATGCTGCAGCTCCTAGCCAGCACAATGTCTCTCCTTCCATGTGCAAAGGGGAGCTGTACTTCCTCCTCTCTTTATCCACCCCCCTGTTACTTCAAACATGTTTCTTCACTGTAGCTATTCCAAGAGAGCTTGTGTGGTGTTTCTCACCTCTCCCTCTAGAACTAAAACAGTGCTGTCCCAGTGGAACCAGCTGCTCCCTTCTCCCTTTAAAGCTGTCCTTTGCAGATCTAAACTCAGGCTTGCTCTATTTAGTTCAAGGGTAATCTTAGTTTTCCCCCCACTTTGTATTTTTATGTAAGCTAACTTACTAAACCTTACTGCACTTTACTGGAATGGTTATTGATCCCCGCATTATATCAAAGCTATCCATGTAGCACCCTACAAAAAACGGAATTTCTGTTAAATACTCAGGCTGAATAGGCTGGCCATTGGTGATAAAGAATGTCATTAAAACCAACAGACCTTTAAAAAATCAAATTCTTTCATAAAAGTACAGTATTCTTTAAAAAAATACAATTCTAGCACATGCACCATTTTCTAACTGGTTGACACGTCCAACCAAGCATTATTTTAAAACAACCAGAAAGTTTTGCAATAGTGAGACAAATCATCAGTCATCCTTTAATCCCAGGATCCAGCTGATAAAACTGATGTACATCTCTGTTTCTTCTGGCATAGTAAGAACCAAGTGGTTGAAAAAGAAGCATTGTGTTTGGTGAGAATGCTTTCTCTTGTTCTGAAAACGAATTGGTTTGTTGTTTTCCAAGAGGATGACCAGCACAGTGTTCCATGTTGATGTTACCACACATTGAGACAGAATGACATGCCAAAATGTTCCACTGAAATGCTTTCCCTGCATCCTTGATAACTCAAACTTCCATCAGGGTTCTTACATCTCCATGAGATTTTTTATCCAAATCTGCAGCTTTGAAGACATGTTTTGTTCCTCCATCAGGTCCTCAGGAAGAACTTAGTATAGATTACATTAGGATATCACCAAGTTGATCCCAAGAAAGAAGATTATATGTAATAATGCTTAGCATTTATATAGGCTCTTTTGATTTCAAAACACTTTGTAAATATTTCCTAATCCTCACAACATCCCTGTGAGGTAGGTGGGTATTACTGTCCCTACGTTACCAATAGAAACTGGAGGCAAAGGGGTGATGTGCCTTGTCTCTAGCTATAGAGGGAGCCAGGAAGAGACATGGGACTCTATTCCTGGCTGCCAACTACGTGCTCAGACTAGACCATGCCTCTCTCATGTGACAACAGCCTCTATTAATATATTTATGGGTCTGTATTGTATATTTATAAAATAACCACACACAATGAGAGTATAGAACAACAAGGCTAATTAGCATCCTTTTGCTAATTAGTAAAATATGGAAAGCATAGTTTTAAAATTGCATTTTTCTGAAAAGCATTTGGTATCTTAAGTTACTATAGAGGAAGAATGCTACAAACTTTTGCTGACTTACTCTCAAAAGCATCATAATGATTTTAAGCAAAGTAAAATAATTGTTCCACAAAGGTCTTTCCTCCATAATACCAGATTCTTAAAAAATGTAAAATAAATATCCCAATTCCCCCCTCCCCCAATCCAAACCCCAACAAACCTAAACCAAATCTGGCTTTACCTAACCTTGTTGGGAATTAATAGTGCTTATTTTTTTTTCCAAATTGGGAATCCACCTGACTTTTGGAGCAGGCAAAAATGCTCAATATATTGAAGGTTGCAGTTCAAAAATACCAATTTAGTAGAAAAGCACAGTTGAAAAGTGAAAGTTGAAAACTTCCATTTCCTTTGTGTAGTCATTCAGAGGAATAAGGCATTTGCAAAAGATACTCTACTAAGAATTAATGTTGTAGAGAAAGAACATAATAGAATTTAGAAGGAATCCTTAGAACAAGAACATTTTATAAGGGGCGAAGAGAATATAAAACCTATGCTGTTGGAAGGAATTGAGTGAGAAGACCAAATGGCATTTTTCACATATAGTTTTGGAGGATGGCGTATAAACGTAAGCTACTGATGCTTGGATGATGGTGTGGTGGTGCAGGAACGGGAGGAGTGATTTATGTGCCCCTACTGGTATCTTTGCCAAGGTGAAATACCCACTCTCCTCTGTAAGTCAACAGATCTTGAAGTGGCATCACAGAGCTCACCTTCATTCCCCCCTCAGATCTTGTGGTGATAACTGGGCAAAGAAACAGGATGAGAATTGAAGTCTTTAAATTCAAATGTAAAACTTGAAAACTACCCTCTAAGCAGAAATGACATTCATTGTCAGAAGTAACAAATATAAAAGTCTTAAATCATTGTATATAGAGCTATAATATAGTTATATAGATATTATTGTATGCAGTTCAGAGAACATTTTTGTTGTGTGCTTTTTCCTTAAAAAAGACTTTTTTTTTGGCTTCCCCACCTCCCCTAGTAGATACGAAATATCAATCTGTCCATCCTGTCAGGTGTCTTCATTCATGTTGTACACTCAAGGGGTCATTCTCGCTTGTATTGTATGCTGCAGCAGTCTTGTTTGTGACCAATTTGTTAAGTTTGTGACTGGAACAGTTAGGTTGTTTAGTTGGTTGTAAATTTTTGGCATAGGGTGAATACCAGTCCCTTTCAAACACCCCTTTAAGTTGCCTGATGATGCTTGTGCTGTTTTCCACATCTGCCTGGTTGATAACAAGGCCTGTGCCAGCATTCTGGGTAAAATCATTTCCTACCCAATCAAAGTTCCCTGCAAACAAACACAGAAAGAGCTTCATGGTGAAAAATTCATATCTACTGGGGCCTAGTGCAAATACAATAAAAAAAGTAACACTATTCGTCCTCCCTGCCCCGAAATAAATAGGAACAGTGGCAGGGAGAGTGGTTTGCATTGACAGCTCTGGGGGAAGAAAAAAATATTCTAAAAGCCCTTACATATGGCATATTAATATTTGCATATTATTTTGGCGTTTTCTCATCAGCTTCGCTCAACTAGAAACTCAAAACAAGTCATCTGCTGTTCTTTTTGTAAATGTTATTTCTTATTGACATTCACAAGATGCACTAAATACAGCAACATCTAAAATATATAGGAATAAACTTAAAATTCCTGTGAACAATTACTACCTTCTCAAAGAGATGACACATTATTTCATATGTACACATATAAATGTAAGGCATTGTCCAGAGGGGAAAATAGTCTGATCCTGACTAGATACATTTTTATGCCTCTTTACCCAAGGATATAAAACATTTTCCTGACACCAGGGTCAGATTTTTTTCCTACACTGGAAGCTGATGGCCACCCAATAAGTCCTGGTCACCTGGACAGAACTCAAGGAAATGGTTTAAAAAAGCTAGAATTGATCTTGGAGATAACTCAAATTCATCTGTAGCAGCTATTTAGCCTCATTGTGAAGATGTGAGTGAGTGACGCTGTTAGAAGCTCAGAGTTCCAACCTCCAGTATCTCACCTGTCATGCCCGGAGTCTATCAGGAGAGCAAAGACGTACCCTCAGAATGGTGGATTTGTTTTTTTTTCCCCTAGGGTTATCTTTCTTTCTGTTTATTTAAAAGCAGACAGGACAGCTCAGTATATATTTTTTCACATTTGACAAAACCATTCACTATATTGTGATCTTTATTTGTTTTATCCATGGCAACTCCAAACCATTTTAAAAGGGAGTACATATAATGGAGAAGGTAATTTAGTGATTGTTTAGAAGGCAAGAATATTTTCATTAAAAAATAAGATTCATCCAGGTTAGTCATCTTGCCTCTCCTCCTATATATTACTCAGTTTAAATACCTGCATTTGCAACCCTTTTTGGCTAGTAGGTGGTACCGGGTGATAGATGTGGCAGACTTCTCTGGGGCATTTTACGTAAAAGGAACCCGGCAGCTGCTAAAGGACAGTGCCTGATGGCAAGGTCCTCGAATCTATCTTGTGATATGTAACTGTACTCGCACCCAACCTTTCCATGCCTTTCCCTGAGAGAGCCTTGTGACCTGTGCTATTTATCTGTAAAGGGACTCTGATTGGATGAGAAAATCCTCAGCTATGATACTGCATGAATGGATGAAGGATTTGCCTCAGTTGGCTGGACAGATACTTTGAGAAATGACCTTGAGAAAACCAAATCAAGAAAGAGGTGAGCTGCATATTTTGAAAGGTGAACTTGGAACCCTGGAGCTATGGACATGTAGTGGAAGCTAGCCCCCATCATGTCTCTTGACCTCTAGGTCCTGTACCCTTAAAGATTAGTGAGAATAGACTTCCCTTTGGTGAGATCATTCTCTCTTGCTTTGAGTTGAGATCTCACCCCCAACTGAAGAGCCTATTTATTCCTTTATCTTCTGTGGTATATTCTAATCTGTATAAATTATTGAATTTCTTTTTGTTCCTTTCTATAATAATGGGAGTTATTCTCTATTCATGATGGTTCTTTGTGTAATCAACATTTTATGGGAAGGGACCAAGCTAGTAAGTGTAAGCTAAGGGCTTTTCTCCCTCTTGAGAACAATCAGAGATAGAAGTAGTTGTTATTTTTTTGTTGTTGTTCTTTATTTATTTTTAGTTTTCAACGTTCACTTTTGTAAGATTTTGAGTTCTAAATTTTTCTCCCCTCCCTCAACTCCCCTCTCCCCAACGTGGCATGCACTCTGATATAGGCTATACATGTATGATCATATTAAGCATATTCCCACAGTAGTTATGTTGTGAAAGAAGAATCAGAACAAAAGGGAAAAACCACGAGAAAGAAAAAGCAACAAAAAAAGAAAACAGTATGCTTTGATCTGCATTCAGATCCAACATGAAGAAGTAGTTCTGAACTGCTTAGAATTGTGCCCCTATACTAGAAATCTTTGAAGATGATAAAGTCATACAATTCTAGTCTAACACCTGTCTTGGAATCTGGAGGAGAAATTTCCTACCCTTGGCAGTCCTGGATTATTAACTATGTGACCCTGAAGAAGTCACTTAGCCTCAGTTTCTGCATTGGTAAAACAGGAAGCCAGGAATAGATGACCTCTGATGTCTAAGCCCTTTTAGCCCTCAATCCATGAACTATGGTGATTCTGAATAAGTCACAACTTCTTTAAGCTTCCATTTCTTTGTCAGAAAAATGGGGATAATAATAGCACCACTTATCTCAAAAGAATTATTGTGAATGTCAAATGAGATAAAGCATGTAAATCTTTTTGCAGTCCTTAATGCAATATATGTATGTGTACATGCATATGTGTACAAACACACACACACATATGTATATAAGCTATTATTATTATTAGGCTGCATCCTCAGGCTCCACAACCAGAAGTATAGAATTTTAGATAGAGAGACCTTGAGGCTATTCAGTTGAATTCTATCCAATGTATTAAGATACAGACTTCTGGTATCTTAGAGTTGGAGCTTAGAGATCAAGTTCAGACTTCTTGTTTTACAAATGAAGAAACCAAAGTTCAGAAAAAATTGAAAGACTTATTCAAGATCATAGAGCTAATTAGTGGCAGAACTGGGACTAGAAATCCAGGTCTCTTGATACCCTGACAGATAGCCAGACAGTCTCTGCTTCAGCATTTTAAGTGATAGGGACTTCACTATCTTACAAATTAATCCATTCAAGCATTGTTAGAGAATTCCTCCTTGTATTGAGCCAAAATCTATTTCCCTATAAATCCCACCCACTGCTCTGTGGAGCCTCACAGAATAAATTGAATTAGTCTTTCATATGATAGCTCTTCTAATACTGGAAGATATCAATCATGTTTTGCCATCCTGTATTTTCTTCCCCAAGCTAAATATCTCCAGCTCCTTAAGCTATTCCTACTTAAAGCCTAAAAAGTCGGGGTCATTGAATTAAGCATTATTATCATGAAGAAGATCCACTCACCAACAAAATAAAATTCATGTTACTAAAATGTTTTTGTTATTTTCTTACAAAAGTATTTGTAGGCATATCTTTTATCAACCAAAGTGTCAGTGGCTTCATATAGATGTATTTTTTGGTTTTGATGAGGAAGGCAAATTGGTGTGGGTGTGGGTGGGTGTGGGTGTGGCTAGACATTCACTGGGTCATCTGCCATTTAATAGCAAATGCTTTCTTAATGTGTGGTTTTGTGTTGTCAATAACTACACTAAAAAATGAGACTGCTTGTGTATACAGCATTTATCTGAAGTCAAATTTACTGAGAAGAAATTTGGAAATGTCATTTGGCTTTTAGCTTCAATGCAAAGTATAGGAACAATGCTATTGACTTTGCTTTTTAGCATTTCCTGTTAATGTCATGTTTTGGCAGACCTACAGGGTCTAAAACTTCAGGTCATTGATAATTTTTTACTAGCGTATGTGCCAAGAACTAAGGTCCATAGAGAAAGCAACAGTCTAAAGGTGGAAGTTCCTGGCACTCACTTATGTAAATATGCCTATTCTCCCATAGATGATGGTGTTCCTAATAGTTTCCTCCTTCAGAATCTATAGCTTGGGGGTGCTGAGATTGTGAATGGCTAAGAGAGAAGTAGCTAAACTCAATGTTAGAATGCTTGACTTTTCTCTTACTCAAGGCTTTGAGATGGAATCTGTGAAATCCCATTGCTTGTGTATTCTAAGACACAAGGACTTTGCCCCCTCTCACAGATAGATATGTTCATTACTTACATAATTTGGGAGTTGGGAAGAGCCCTAATGACTTGGATATTCAAAGTTAGCAAATAACAAAAATTAAAGATCTCTAAATAAAAGATTCCACAAAATCTATCCATGGCTAACACATGACTTAACTCTTCCAGGTCAGTTTCCAATCTTTGAAGCGTGCTATATACTGAAGTACAGTAAACAGAGTAATATTAACTCAATACTTTTGATCAATATTTTATATTCTGGGGCACTTTGAATCTATTGTTGAAATGGCCCAGAAGGGAAGTAAAGGGAACTAAAAAAGTGACTATAACTGACGCCCACTATTTCCTTTGCCTTTCAACTCATCCAACTGTTTCTCTCTTTTCCTTATTGGATACTGCCAGGAAACACTGTCTCCTCTGACCATGCTGTTTTCCTGATTAAAGTATTATCATTGTTCCCAGAAGTAGAATATAAATGATGCATAAATGAAATGTTCTTTTTCATGTCTATTAGCAAACTATGGAACCAAATGAATAAAAACACATGAGGTTATTGGTGGAAACACCCGAGGTGTGTTCTTGTCAGCTAGAAACTTTCCCTGGTGAATGCTGGAAGGTCTATAGAAAAAAGCATCGGGGATGCTTTTATGTTGTAGATGACTACTTTCGGTTATTAATGTTGTTGCTGGGGCAAGTTATTGTAGCTGAGACGCTGTATGGTTTTGTAGATTGTGCAGACTAAGCTAATTAAATTTGCACCAGCAGTAGGCAGGGACTGAAGATATTCAGACCCCTGCAAAGTGTAGGAGAAGGAAGTAAGAATATCTGTAAATTCACCTCAAGCAAGGTGATAATTAGAGTATCATGAGTGTCAGCAGCAGAAATCTGCTGGTGATACAAAACTGGCCAATGCCATTCACCCATAGGAGAAGGCAATCCAATTTACATCAATTGATGTGAAAGCAGTCTCTAAGACAGGTGGCTAGCATTGTGGTTCTTGTAGTCTGGGCGGGTCCTTAACTCCCTTTGTCATATGTAACTTTTATGGGACATGCTAAGAGGTCTGCTTTATTCTAGGGGATGCCTAGGGAGTGCTTTCAAGCTCATGTTCCCTCTGACAAGAATTC